CTATTCTCTGATTCACATGCTTGCGGATATAAAGCATTGCCTTCGCGCATCATCTTCGTGACTAAACCCGTGCACCCTGATCAAACTGTGCACTTCTACCTCTGGTCATCCACTACCTATCGAGTGGATTTCTAGCCAGGTTGGGTATGAGGCCGAATTTCTATGATGGCTGTGACTATTCGTCTCCTTGATTATGTGACCGTTATGCCCTCAAAGTTGTAGTCGTTTCTTCGGGAAGAATACACTCACTGAGAACGCCTTAGAAGTATTTCAGAAAATTCCTCACCATCTTCTTCCTTGCGAACCCTTTTACGCTGGTTTACGACAGATCCTTGATCAGAGCTGATCCTTTTTGGTGGTCTTGCCGTATCCTTGTTTTCTTCAAGTTTCCTTAATTAATAGGCCTTCCTTCAATCTCCTAGTCATCAGATTTTTTCCCCCAAGAATGTAAATGGCCTCCTTAATCTTCCCATTCCTTGTGTCTTCATCGTATAAGGCCTTTCTTTCAATTGCCTGTGCGATGTGTTTCGCTAATCCTGATCTTACGATACCCATTTACTTGCAGAGCCTTTGATGCTCCTTGACTCGTATGCTGATTATTCCCTCAGTTCTGCCAAAGTATTTCTATTCGCAGGAGCCGCATGATATTTAGTAAACTCCCGAACAATCCTATTAGCCTACCCTTTCATGCTACGTGTGGAGACTCGTGAAGGATGCTGTTTTATCCCTCAGTGGTCACCTAAATATTCCATTTTCTTAAGATCGGTCGTACTTTTTGAGCTAGTTCACAAGAAGGTAGTCATGTACACTTTTGTGAGTCTTTCTTCATCCTTACCTTTCCTTCTTAATCCCTTTCCTGCCATCGGCTTTTTACTGCCTATTTTTTTCTTTGTATCCCTACTCTTGGCTATCCGATGTCGAGTCATTTTATTCAATTCTCTATCCCAGAATTCCACGTCCGTTAATAGTAGGCTTTTGATGGGCACGCTCCTAATTATTCCTATTTTTAACCTGCAGTTGTGATGAGACTCAAAATTGAGTATTATTTCGGCATGCCTTCTTTCTGAACTATCTCCTCCTGAGCATCCCATTAGAGCAAATGCTCACCTTCCTCTAGTTCCATTGTGAATATGATTTTTTCATCAATCTGGTTTATACATTTCAGAAGATCTTCCAGTTTTTGTCTTTTATGTTACCAAATTGTGCACTAGTCGTTCAGGCATAGCATGAGCACTCCCGGTTGCTGTGGTGACATCTTGAAGTTCCCTTCTAATTTGTTTATGTATACGTTTGCAAAAAAGAGTTGAGAGCGGGATTAACTTCACTTGTCGCCTTGACGAGTTGTAGCTCGATACTGCGAATGGCAAGACTCACTGACGATGCTGACTACGATGCCGGCGAAACGTCTGGGAATACACCAAGTCCAGAGTCCGACGTTGGGAATTATGCTTACTACTATAGCAGATGACTTTGGACAAGGTGCGTTCAACTAAGCTGCCTTGACAACACGATCAAGTTGCGAAAACGAGGTCAACCCAATTCAAGACATAGTGATTTTTATTCAACTCATTGTGGGAAAACCCAATTATTGGTCTACAAGTAGATTTTCGAGATCACTGGAAGCTCATATAAATGAGATATTTTGACTCTATTTCGTTTAAGATGAGCAAAATCCACTTATAAAGCCAAAGTTAAATAATGTATTCGATTGCTATAGCAAACGCAAAATTGCTTCATCGACAATCCCACCACATAATGTGATATGAGAAAGGTCTAGGTTTCACTACAGTTCACCTCTGCACTGTGACCCAAGGGCATTCATGGCAATGAGGCGTAATGCTTAACGCTGTTGCAAATACATTGTTGTTTAGTCAACAATACCATAAACAATGTGATTTGTGTTAGGCTTAACTTACCTTGCATTTCAGTGGTACTCACAATCAGATCTTGAATCCTGTTGGGGATGTTAATGAGACTCGATCAGGCAGAACAAAACTGCAGTCCATTACAGCCAAGATAAGATGGCCTGTTGGGAGAAAAGCCTATCAGTCCTTAAATCACCCTGAGCGACGTGGAGTAATTAATTTTTTATGCTGTCAAGCGGTATGAAGCTTGCTGTAAATAAAATATACATTTTGGAGATAATGTGTATCTGTATTGCAGACGTTGAACGACTTCGGGAACCCCTGAGAGTTTGTGGCTTATTTAGTGCCTCAATAATCCATGAATCGGCCAAAAATCGGGTCTAAGCAGGCTTGGACCAATCTATGACAACCTGATCAAATGGAACTGATCTCCTAAAATAGTTACTCTTTTAGAACCATATAAAAATTGATTAATTGCCAAATATCTTGTCCCTAAGTTGATAGGATAAAAATCTTGATAAATTTAGCCATTTTTCTATCCATAGAGCAGGAATATTAGTCATCAAGGTTATAGGAGCCCATTGCCGTTCGCAGAAAGTGACTTCTCAAGATAATTTGTAGTTAATGCTTCTGTGTGTAAATAAATTAAACATGCTGGAAGGGAAAATAGCTGAAAATGAATCTGCCTATCCTGCTCCGGGTGTAAACTTTGCTGAATCTGAGCCCACTGATAAAGTTTTTGGTCTTCCGAGAGGCTGAAGAGACTTCCAAAACATTTTCATCGTATTTATTACAAGGCCACCATGATTGGATCAAATGCTAGCACAGATTTCAGACCCATATCAGACCTGCCTCAAACATGTGATCACTATTATTCTTACCAGGACTATGCCGAAACTTGGAAACTCTTTTGTCTCAAAAAGGACCAATGGCATGATTTCGGAAAGCTCAGAGCCCCGGGTCAGAAAGCGGGTATCAGCATCCCTTTTCCCCTCATCGACGGGCAGCTCCATTAACCAGTCTGCCGTCTTCTCCGACTCCTGCGCGTCTTTCAGTGCCGAGCTGTCCAAAGTGGCCTCCTTGGCGGAGTTAGACGTGGCCGAACCAAGAGGCGGCAGATGGAGTGATCGAAAGGCAGCCAGTTCTGCCGAGCGAGAAGGGCTCGAATAGGGCCGATGCACGAAGTTTGGTGAGGCTGCTGGCAACTGTAGGAACAAAAGGCGAGTTATGTCCTGCGTTACCATTCGAGGTGGTTCCCAGGTGAATAGGGCAAAGTCAAGACTCCTCATAGCAGTGTCTGTTGAAGAAGGCATTTTTGTCTGGCTGAGCCAACCGATTGAAGCTAAATGAGGTTGAAAGTATCAAATAGACGTGATATCAGAATAGAAATTCGAGTCTATTTGAAATGACAAAAGATAACCCATTTGATAAAAAGACTGCACAATTTGGGTTGTAAAACAAACTAATTGATTGAGTGGTGCAACCTTTTCAAAGTATATCCACATGCTAAGATTGACCTGAGTATTAAAAGAATCACTGAAAGTTTACGAATTGCAAGATGCAGTTATCTCAAAATAGAAAAAAATAACTAACAATAACAGAAAGTTGACTTGCTGACACATGTTAATCCCACTCTGGCCAAAATATGAGGAAGGAAGGATTACATGAAAAACATATCACATACACACACACTCAGACACATATATATATATATATATATATGTATCCATTAGTGCTCACAGGCTTTG